AAATATTTAAATCTGCTGAGACCCTGCGCTGGCTGTTTGGTGCTGCCTCAACGCCTCCATCCACCCCGGGGATGCCTCTGGGTTGGGGTAGCTGGGCTGGGGGTGACCCATCCCTCTGCCCCGTGGGCAGCGCTCCCCTGGGAGCAGCATTTTACACCCCACCTGGGGACAAAGCACCCCAGAGGAGGATTACCATCACAGGCCACGGCTCGCCGAGCGGCCGAGCATCGCTCCCCGGCGAAGCCCAAACCGGTCAGATCCCTCTTCCAAGGTTGTATTCCCCAGTTCCCGGGTCAGCACGTCCCAGCGCCAATCCCTGGGGCTTTGTACCAGCACGGGGTAAGAAACAGGCTGTGCCCGGGAGGCCTCGCTCTGCAATTAGAGAAAACAAAGAGCGAGAGGGGAATTGTCCGTCGAGCGCGGAGAGGGCCAGGGTACAGCCTGGCTCCCAGCTGCCTGCCGGCTCTAAGCCGTATTTTTCCCCATCGCTGCCGTTATCTGCTTGTTTTGGAGAGGAGAAGGCTCCCCCCTGGCTGGTGATCGCCTCCAGCTGCCCCCGTGTCAGGCACTGCGTGGTAGAGGGCCAATTTGGCACCTTCTCCCTAACGAACCAGCGCAAGCCAAGACGTCACAGATAAAACAAATGCGTTATCCGTGCGGGAGCCTTTGGGAAGGGTCCCAGCGAGGGCAGGTTTCCCCTTCAGAGCAAGCAAGATGCTCAGGAAAGAGCACAAATAATATCCGAGATCCCTCCCTTCCAGAGTGGCAGAAAATGAAATTTCCACATTATTTATTCGAGCGAGACACAGAACTCCTAACGGGAGCGGATCAGCCAGCCAGGGCATCGCCTGCCAGCCGTCCCCTCCTCGTTTGTTTTTAATTAGCAGCAACGTGCAGGGGGCTGAGCCAGGCAGCGCTGATACGGTGACGGGTAACGGAGCTGGGCTGCTCCAGCCGGGGGTACGGGACAGCGGGCAGGTGGCTGCAAATCACCCCCCGGATATTCTGGGAGCAAGGGTGGGATAAACATGCTGGAGCAGGTAACAAGGTCACTGCCGAAAGGACACTCGTGTCTCGGGAGTCGTGGTAATGAGGATCAAGGGACACGGGGGCAAATGAGACCCTGTGGGAAGAGCGGGGACAGCACGCACCAGGGTGAGCTGCAAGACCTGCCCAGGCCTAATTTGTGACTAATAGTGACTAATTTGGGTTCCTGGGGGTGAGGTGAGGGATGAGAAGGTGAGAAAAAGCCTCAGGGAGAAGCCAGCCATGGAGAAAAAAACACTGTGAGGGGAGGTGAGACACCAGGGCTGAAAGGAAGAGAGGGAGGGGGGTGGATTTACCTCTAAATTTAAAGCAGTTGCATCCTCGCTGACTCAGGGGAAGCACAAAATGTTCACCATGGCCGGGCTGGGCTTGGGTTGGCTCCCAGGGACTGGAGCGAGGCCGAAATAGCAACTGGGAACCAGTTTGCTTGGCTCCAGGTGGAGAAGGGTGGTGGGACAGCACGTCGGTGGGTGGGTGGGAAAGACACCCCCACTCTGGGTGACCCCAGAGCAGGGGAGGAACAACGTCACCCCCCCAGCCTGGCCCGCAGGACAGCGAGGAGGGAAGGAAACGCGTCAGGGCGGCTCCTGAGCTGCTCAGGGAATAATTCAGGAGCTGGTGGCCGGTGGCCAGTGGCCACAGCTCCCACCGCCCTCCCTGCCCTTGCCAGCAGTGTTTTGTTCCCCCCCCCCGGAGAGGTCAGCGCTTCGCCACCCAGCTCAGCCACTTGGTTTTTTGTGGTTTTTTTTTTTTGAGGGGGGGAAGAAATAACCGTCCCCACAACGCCCTGGGCCTGGCTCCCTCCAGCTGTGGCTACTGGCCAAACCCCACGGGTGCCCCGGTTCCCCCCCCACCACGCACACCGCGGCTCGGCCAGGGGGAGGGCACACGAGGCTGCCTGCCAGCGGGCCACCGTGGACACGGCGGGGT